GGCTTGAAACGCAGTGGAAACGCCAGTATGACGAGGATCGGTTTCATTTTAGAACATAAACGCACCAGTGTAAATGTAGCCTTACATCTAAGGGGGCTGGGACGCATTCGCACTACAGCCTCACGTGTGCGCCACATCTCCGAGTGTAACCGGTGTAAACTAGTAGGTGTGTTCGACTTGACGCGGACTGACTGTGCAGACCGATCGGTGTATTACAGTACCACGAGAGCTAAAGAGAGCAGACTGCTCCGTGCGCTTTCGAATCGCTCTCGCGGATGTCAAACACTGATCGATCTGCACCGCACCTCTTGTAGTCGAACACACCGGCTAGTGCTGCAGACTTATTGGCTCACTGACGCTGATGAGATTAACCCCTTAGGTATCGAAATTTGGTACCGAACGACGAGACGTTTTTCGATAGTCGATGGTATCGAGGCATTTCGGTCAGTGCCTAAAAAGTATCGAACTCGATAACCAGCCCTACTGATAACAGAGAAAAGACCCTAAAATACTCAGATACAGAGAAGATATCAATCGAATCTGTGAAGGGTCTACTTTTATTTGTGTACACTCACAATAACAACAAAACACTGTGTCTTTGTAAAATAAACAAAACAAACAGGGTGCGCTTTCAGCCAACTCGGTCTCCGTGAACTTCTTTCTGAAACGCATCACAAAAATGAACTAAAACTCGGCGAATATTTGACACACAGACGTGAGAAATATGTCTATAGAAAACTTGAAGTGTCTACTTTTAAATGAACCAATTCAAATCGAAAACGAATATTCTCTGATTATGTAATCCGTATGAAACCAACGCGAGGAATCCCAGAATCCCAGTCTTTCCCGTTTTAGCTCATTATCTGCAGCCATATCTGTATCTATGTACGAATTTTACTAGTTGGGCTTTAAACTGTCTTGCCAAACTGAAATGTGTGAAAGTGAGTGAAATATGCTGAAATATGATATACACTCAGATATATAGGCAACTTTTTATTTCATATAGGCTAAATGTCGTATGATACGAAGATGTAAATATTTTGCTATCATATAATAAAAATATGAGATATAATATGATATAGATATAAAGTAATGTGAATGTTTACACTGCAGCATGATGAATGTTACAGTCTAGGAATGTTTAGATCAGTGTTTGCTGATCTACTATCAGATGTCGATGTTTATAATGTGCTAAGCAATAAGAATTTAGTCTATAAAATATCAGAAAATTGTGTATATATTGTAATACAAAGCATATGTGCATGAATGATAGTACAAAATCATGATGTTTTTTTGTTAGGAGTAGACAAAATTAGTATTAGTGACTGCCAATATATGTACACTATGTCAGTGGTATGAAATATGGTACTCATTGCTTTAAAAAGTTTAATGCTTACAGCTTGATACATGTAATGTTTAACCTTTCTTAAGCTTTTTTGTTATTCAGATATTTTGCAGAGTAATTTGTTAACCAAAGAATGTTACATTTTTTTTTATTAAAATGTTTGAGTATTACAGTTGTTTTAAAGCTAAAAGGCTAAACTATTGTTTGACTCAAATTGAAATAATAAATATTTTCATTTCTATTGTCTATGCATCAAGGTTTATATGGCTTTTAAGATGTAATTACCGATTCGAGTAATTAAGTTACTTATTGAGTAATTAAATTACTTTTCAGACAGAGTAATTAGAAAAGTAATTTTTATGTACAATATTGATGATGTAATTAGTAATTAATTACTTATTGAAAGTAACTTAAACAACACTGCTTGGAAATATGTCACATTACAGATGTAAAATACTGATTTACGTTGACTGATAATCATATTCGACTAGCTAACTTTACCACTGTTGCCATGGTTATGAATATTTTGATTCCCCGCTAAAACAATATCTAATTAAACAGTAAATTCGTAAATTCTTCAAGTGCCGTGGTGCTCATGTGGAAAACAGGTTTGAACTGGGCATGTGCCACATACCAGTCCCATCCCTTCTTACAGCAAAGTTATTTTCTTTTCCTTCTCAACTGTCACAAAAAAAAGGCCCAGAATATCATGTTTTGTATTGTCTCATTAGTACGCAGTATCACATGTAGCATGCGGGATAAAATAGAAATTGTGGCCACAAATTAGGAATTTATTACCAAAACTTAATTAGTGGCAATGTTTTATTAATTTGTTCCCTCATTTTAATTTAGGTAAATTGTGACCACCATTTACCGAAAGCAAGGGAACAAATTACTAAGTTGTTGTAACAATTTAATAATTCTTAATAAACCCCAATATCTTATTTTTTCCCTATATGTATGTTTTATTTTTTGTAGATTAGCTCAGTCTAATGTAAAAGAAGGGAGGTTATTCAAATGTCTTCAGGCTTCAGCTTTGTCACTACTAAGATGATATGAAGTGGTTCCAGTTGGGGTATATAGAGAAAAAGCAGAAGCAAAAGATAGATTTTTTTGACTTCGGACCCCCTACACCTTGGGTGGCTCCCACCATCTGCCAGGGGTCTATTATCTCACAACAACTCAGTAAGTTCTTCTCCTCAGAAGTAACTATTATGGTAGTACTGCTTAGAGTATTATACCGTTTTTCAAAAATGTATTTTGATTTATTTTTTATTTTTTTGCATTATATGACTGTATGTTATGCAGTGTTTAATGTTATGAGTTTTTTCTTATTTCAGATAAGCGTTTTTATACAGTGGAAGATCTAAACTAAAATGATGTGTGATGTAGCATCCATTTAATGTCACGTTCATTTGTTCTTGTTTTATAAATAGTTCAAAAGCAGAGATGCACTCGCTTCAGCAGCCCTGCCTAAATAAATCCCATGGGTCACTTAGCAGACACTGAGATGCAAGAGTGAGCATTGCACACACACACAGTCTGCTCCAGGGCACGATTCACCCTCACAAATACATACACGGTCTTATTCCGAATAATAAAGAGTTGTTATCGGCGCTGTTATTGTTAGCCTTGGCAACACAAGTGGCATTCTCACACACAGTCTGCTCCAGGGCACGATTCACCCTCACAAATACATACACGCTCTTATTCCGAATAATAAAGAGTTGTTATCGGCGCTGTTATTGTTAGCCTTGGCAACACAAGTGGCATTCTCTTCCCCCTCCTCCCCGCTACCGCCATGAGACTCGCCAGGCGCAGAGACAAATGGAGATCAGATTCTGTTTCCATAGATACGGGAGCACTGCTGCAAAGACTGCTGCAAAAGCCTTTCACTCGTGCCATTGTGCTGGAAGACAATGGTGCATAAATACACGCCCCTTCAGTGGATGTGGCTGCCCGGATTGTGTCAGCTGAGAGATGCTTTTAAAGAGGACCATTTTTTGTGGTTGAACTGTTAGTCATTGTTTCCTTGTACTGAAAAAAGGCCTTCTACTAATTGTGGATTTTTTTTCTGTAAAACATTATGCTCAGACAGATATTGTGGGATATTAATTAGTGGAGTTGGGTAAGCCATTATGAGCAATTCATATTATTATTATTGTATAATATTTTGGTGGATAACCAACACTGTCTTTGCTAAAGACTCGAAACAGCCAAAAAAAACTCCTTAACACCCTAAACAAGCATCAGAACAGCCTTACAATGCTCTAAAAATTATCATCCCAGCAGCCACTAGAACACATTAGTAATGCCTGTAATACCCTAGAAACTGCCAAAGCACTTTAAAATAGCCTAGGAATTCCCTAGCAATGACCTAGAAATGATCAGATCATCCAAGCAGCCAGCAAAACACTTTAAAAACAGCCTTGTAATTCCCTTCCAACAATCAGATCGACCCTGCAAAGAACCTAGAAACAATCAGTATATCCTAACCAGAAGAACACCTTAAAACAGCCTTTCCCCAGCAACCACCAGAAAACCCTAACATCAGCCTAGCAATGCCCTGGCAACCACCAGAAAACACTTACGATGCCCTAGGAATAATCACAGCAGCAACCAGAGCACCCTAGTAATGCCCATAATGCCCTAGAAACCTCCAAAACACCTTAAAACAGCCTATGAATTCCCTAGCAACCACCAGATTACCCAAGCAATGACCTAGAAATTATCAAAAATCCTAGCAATCAGCAGAACACTTTAAAAACAGCCTTGCAATTCTCTAACAACAATCAGAGCATCGCAGCAACTACCAGAACACCCTAGTAATGCCCATAATCAGGCCCAGCTCCAGAATCAAATCACTGAGGGTGCTTCTTAAATTAGTTATATTATCGCTATATATATATATATATATTTGTACCGTTCATTGCTATGGCGCAAGAGCGTTCCCTTTATAATCACTAAAAGCTGTCACTCATCTTAGTTCATTGCGATCTCACAAAGTTACGTTATAATCATGAAGTTCTCTATACACTTTGCTATAATGAGATGATTTGTGCTGAACACAACACCTGAACAAATACTGCAGCGATTTAAGCGGTGAGTGAATTCTAACTTAAAACGCCTATGATTAGCGGTTGGTTTCAAGAAATCAACAGATATGTCTGTGATTGGCTACATTGCTCAACGCTGCACAAACACGTTGAATAGAAACCGATCTCTAGAGCGCAAAAACCATAAAGCACTGGATAGTTTGCCAAATCTGCAATGAAATGCCATTATTACAGCATTAACTGAGGGTGATATTGATTTCGTTTGAGGGTGCTTAGCACCCTCTAGCACCCCCGTAGAACCGGGCCTGCCCATAATGCCCTAGAAACCATCTGAACACCCTATTGTAGCAAAAATCAGAGCATCCTAGCAACCACCAGAACACCCTAGCAAGGACCTAGAAACAATCAGTACATCCTAACCATGAGAACACCTTAAAAACAGCTTAGCAATTCTCTAGTAACAATCAAAGCAACCACCAGAAGATCCTTATAACACCCTGGCAATGATCAGAACATCCCAGCAGCAACCAGAACACCCTAGTAATGAAAACCACCAGATTACCCTAGCAATGATCTAGAAAACATCAGAACATTCTGGCAACCACCAGACCTCCTTAAAAACAGCCTTGCAATTCCCTAGCAACAATCAGAGCATCACAGCAATCACCAGAACACCCTAGTAATGGCTGTAATGCCGTAGAAACAGCCAGAACACCCTAGGAACAAACACAACATCCTTACAACCTCTAGAACACCCTAAAACAGCCTAGCAATTCCCTATCAATCACCATATCACCTTAGCAATGACCTAGAAAAAAAAACGTCCTAGCATCACCCAAGAAACCACCCAGAACAATGCCTTTGTAATAACAAGAACATCATATAAACACCTAGCAGCCACCCATAACACCCTAACAACAGCCTAGCTATGCCCTAGCAAGCAGTAGACCACATTAAATCAGCCTAGTAATTCTCTAGCAACCACCAAAACTCCCCAGAAATTACCTAGTAACCACCAAAACATCCTAGCAACACCCTCACTGCCATCCACAACACCCTAGCAATGCCTTAGTAATTATCAAGGCATCCAAACAGCCTAGTTTTGCCTTAGCAACCAGCAGAACACCTTAAATCAGCCTAGCATTTCCTTAGCAACCACCAGCACACCCTAGCAACCACCAAAACACCACCGCAATGACCTAACAACCACCTTAATAATGAACAGAACAGCATATAAGTCGCTTTGGTTAAAAGCGTCTACTAAATGAATAAATGTAAATGCAAATAAATGCCCATAAACAACCACCCAGAACACCCTAGCAACTATGCAGCAATGGCTTAGCAACTATTCAGAATACCTTTGATTACAGTTCTCAAATACAGGTCTAATTTATCCTTGATTAATGTTTTCTGAGTGCTGTTATGTAACGTTTAATTTCATGCAAAGCTTTTGTGAAAATGTCGCTGTTATGTTATGTTGTCGTCAGCCCATTAAACCGAGTGATTGGTAGTGATGCTGTATAGATCCCGCAGCAGTCGGTCTGTTGTTTGTTTACTTTCAGGCTGCTCTGGCTGGAGGCACCACTATGGTGATTGGTCATGTGCTGCCAGAAAAGAACGAATCATTGCTGGACGCTTATGAAAAGTGCCGCTCTCACGCTGATGCCAAGGCCTGCTGTGACTACGCTCTTCATGTGGGAGTGACCTGGTGGGGACCAACGGTATGAAGTCTATGTTTGCAGAGTATGTAAACGTTCTATAATTACAGGAACAGGAAAATGTGCTAAATTTTTTTAGTTGAATTTATAGTTCTACTATAACGTAGAGCTATATAGAGCTGCTTTACAGCATAATCTTAACTGTCTCCATAGTCGTAATTGATTTGCTATTTGCTATTGATGCTTATCATTGCTTTGACAATATGTATTGTATAGAGCTATAAAGGTGACTTGACTTCATCACAGGTTAGGGCTCAAATGGAGACACTGGTGCGGGACAGAGGGGTGAACTCCTTCCAGATGTTCATGGCATATAAGGACATGTACATGCTGAGGGACAGCGAGCTGTTTCAGGCCCTGCAGAACTGTAAGGACATCGGTGCTGTGGCCCGCGTCCATGCGGAGAATGGAGAGCTGGTTGCGGAGGTATAAATCAGGGAACTGGTGCAAAACCATAATGAACAAGTTTTCCTCCAAAACCTAGTGAGTTGTATACAGGCAGCAGCTTCACACATTACAAGTAGCACTATTCACTTTTATCAATAATTATCGGTGTTATGTGAAATTACCGACCTTACTTTTAAAGGGTAGTGTATGTGATGCTGCCTTTATTTTGGCCAAAATTATGAATAATGTTGGCATAATGCTGTGACGGTGACTTAAAATGCTGTCTAGGTAGGATTCTGTCTTTCTTCCTGCATAGTTGTTATTTATCATGTTATCGCATGTTTTAATTTATCCACACTAGGGTGCCAGAGAAGCGTTGGATCTGGGTATTAGTGGACCAGAGGGCATTGAGATAAGCAGACCTGAGGAGGTAAAGTAATCATTAAAATCCTGTGATTTGTGTGACCATGAAATTGTTTTCCTTTAAAGGGGTCCTATTATGCTCTTTTCCAAAGTCTTGATTTTGTTTTGGGGGTGTACTAGAACTGGCTCTCATACTAGGTTGTTCGAAAAACACATTATTTTTCACATATTTGACATTACTACAAGTCCTCTCTCCCCAGTCTGGCATGAACGGCTCGAATAGTTCCTGTATCAAATGAAGGCCCGCCTTCTGAAATACGAAATGTGCTGTGATTGGTTAGCTGGGTCAGTGTGTGTTGTGATTGGCAGCACTCGGCGCCTGGTCGGGAAATGTCATGCCCCTTACCATAGCCGCCTGCGAGCTTCAGTGTAAATATTGCGTCAAAATCAAATCAATTTGAGCGCGATTTAAACCCGGATGATTGTAACCACTCTACGTTCGTCTGCCTTGGGAAAGCTAGCGTGTCTCCGACATAGTGCTAACACTCGTTGCCTTCTCTAGTGCAGCTCAACCAGGTCTCGTCCCATTCGTCGGTATTTGTGATATCACAAATCCCGGAAAATATGCGCTGTAGTCCAAACGAGTCGTTCGTTGTAGTTTTTGAAAAGTGATTTCTGTTAAATAAAATATCTCCTTTTGAAGTGGACTTTGAGCTTTGTAACTTTGCAGATCTTTTTTATGCTCAAACAGCAACATTACAGACTTAACTAAAGTTGAAAAAGTGAAAACGCATAATAGGACCCCTTTAAGATATTAGTCACATTGCCACTCTCTCTCCAGCTCCTAGTCTTTCCTGTCTCCATATTGCATTTCCATGGATTATTAATACTCTTAGGCGTCTGTTCACCATTAGGTTTCAATTGTGACATTTGTGTTTTCTCACTTACCTTGGGAATTTTCCTTGTGTAGCTGGAAGCAGAGGCCATCCACCGAGCCATTACCATTGCTAACAGAGTGAGTATGATGTACAAGAGTGTCGATGTGTTATGTTTTTTTTTTAAACTAATTTTGTAATGCTAACATAGACTTAGGTGATGACACATGGGCCTTTTCTAAGCAAGTTGCTGTATCAGTAGTTCTACACATGAGCGTTTTAGTGTTAAATATAATAAACAAAGATTCTGTATTTCAGAATTAAAACACATGGGTAATGCAAACACTGAAAACGAATAGCAGATCTGCTCTAATTCAGTAATGACAGTTTTCATATTACATCATTTTCATTGTATTTTTGTACAAATAAATGCAGCCTTAGCATAAGAGACTTCTTTCAAAAACAGAAACAAAAATCTTTATTATTAAATCTTATGATGTTGAAAAGAGTCATGCTGCTTAATATTTTTGTGGAAACTATGATACTTTTTTTTAGGATTCTCAAATAGAAAGTTCAAAAGAACAGCATTTGTTTAGAAAATAATACTTATGAAAATAAGTATTCATTTATTCAAAAAAATCCCAAACTTTTAAACAAAAGTGTACTTTGAGTCACTTCCTTTACTGTTATTTCACAGCTGAAGCATATGTACATACTGTATTTTGCACATGCAGTATAAACAGAATGTCAAGATGATTGACATGTCGACCCAGCGTTACTATGCGACGAATGACAGTTTTGAAACATACATATGAGTTACCGATTAATTGCTTTTAAGGACTTTAAATGTGATCAGAATGAATGTTTTCTGTTTGTTGTCTCTTAGGCCCACTGTCCCATATATCTTGTGAATGTGTCCAGCATGTCAGCAGGGGATGTTTTAGCATCCGCTAAAATGCAGGGTAAGAGCCAGGCAATGACACTCAAAGGCCAATTCACAGTCGCACCATTTTAATTTAATATATGACACCTGAAGATTCACCAGTAAATGACATAATGTGACTCAGAATACTGAACCGTGATTGGTTGACAGGGAAAGTGGTGCATGGAGAGACCACCACTGCTCATGCTGTCTTAAACGGGCTGCAGTACTACCACCAGGACTGGGCCCACGCAGCTGCTTTCGTCACTGTGCCACCACTCAGACTCGACCCCAACACACCCAATTACCTGCTCAGCCTTCTGGGAAAGTAAGCGGATTCACCATGTAGTCGTTTCATTTAATCATATACCTGTATAGTCTCATAAAAGTATTTTCACTGTGATGTAGTGACACTCTGAACGTCGTGACATCGGACCACCGACCCTTCACCACTAAACAGAAGGCGATGGGCAAAGACGACTTCACGAAAATCCCTCATGGTGTTCCTGGGGTGCAGGACCGCATGAGCGTTATTTGGGAGCGGGGAGTGGTATGTTCCAGTGAATCACAGAAGCCACACTGCTGGCTAGAATCATCACAATATCAACGTTTGTATAGCCAGTACTTGTGAAAGTTGATGATTTTTTTATACCAGTTTTGATCCTGCAGCTAAAATACCTGTAGGAATTCTATTAAACACTTCTATTTGTTTGCATAAATGTAAACAAATGAACACCAACCAGATTTGAATATTAAAGGGGTCATATGATGCGATTTCAATTTTTCCTTTCTCTTTGGAGTGTTACAAGCTCTTGGTGCATAAAGAAGATCTGTAAAGTTGCAAAGACTAAAGTCTCAAATCCAAAGAGATATTCTTTATAAAAGTTAAGAGTTAACCACGCCTACCTAAAACGGCTCGTTCTAACACGCCCCCACATATCTACATCACTATGTGGGAAGATTTGCATAACGCTGCCCAAATGTTCACGCAAAGAAAGAAGGCGTAACTTTTATTCTCGCTGTAGTATTGTTGCCGCTGCCGCCATGTCGTGAAGGCGCTGTGTGCTTCATTGTGAAAGCGAAACTACTTTGTTTGGCCTTCCAAAAGAGGACGATATCTG